CAATTTCCAAGGTTTTTCCTTTTTTAAAGTCATACTGAAGCTCATCATTCAATGCCCATATCGCAGGAAATGGCATTTCTAGGGTTTTAATTTTCAGAATGTTCTGGAGGGCATACCCCCTGGACCCCTAGGGAGCTTGCGCCTTCGGCGCTCAAGTCGTTAGGAAGCCAATTTATTTGAATGCTCTCCCACCACCCCCTAAAGAATTATAAAGGAACACTCGGCTGCTCACCCAGCACCCCCCCCCTAGAAAAACCTTCCTGGATCGACCCATGAGTGTAGTCACATGCATCGAAATGATTACTACAAATGTAGCTGTGGCGTTTTGCCCTTCACTGTTGCCCATCATTTATTGCTCTCTTAGACTACATTTTCCCACTTCTCAAGATGTCTTTCATCTTTTTAAGGAAAACCTGTATTAATGAAAATAGGCTTTTTCATTTTTTCATTATGAATATGTACCCATTGTCATAGTAGTGTTTACTATTGAAATGTAAATAAATTGAATATTAAATTCAATTGTTTTGTAATTTCTTACCTGTGGAATGCAGTATATGTTTTGCTTTCATTTTCCTGACGCAAGTTTTGTTTTCATAAACGACACAAGTAACTGGCAATTATTATTCCAGTCAATAACAAACTAATTTTGCAGTTTAAACTTTTTTTCCAACTTTGTTTATTACAAAAATGTTAAAAAATAACAAATTACTGCGCTCTGCCAGCCAGATATGGACTGGGGCGATATGAAAAACACTCATTTTCCCCCGAAGATTTTTTACATGTTTAATCTGATTTTAACTTTAAAACAATAAGTTTCTGGATGCTCGGAAATGAATTTCTAACAGTATCTAAGCTTTTCTCAAATAACTGACGCCAAAATGTCTCCGAACCCTTTCTGAAAAGTCTACTAACACAGAAAAACTAAAAAATTTCGCGCGGTTTTCTCGTGTTGTTCGTCTTGTACGTGTGATATTTCTGTTATTTGGTAAGCATTTTTTATTTTAAGCACATTTATTTAAAGTTCTTTTGTCTTAGTTTAATATAAGGAGGAGTTGGCAAGTGCTTAACAAAAAGAAAAGGGCAAAATTTATCGATTTTCAAAAAAAAATTTTGACGCCATTTTGTAAAAAAGGACTGGGGCAACATGCAAACTCATCACTCATGAGTGGCTTCAAAGATGGCGGCGGAGTTATTGTTCCAGGTTATTTACAGTTCACTGTGGAGAATTCGCTGAATAAGGGGCTAGCTGAACACATTTATATTAGCCTGCGAGCAGGCTCTCTGGGTGAAAGAGAGCCTGCAAGGATCCCTATGATGACTGCATGTAACCTGAGTATCAGGCCCGCGGTATTGAAAGACGGCCTGACACAATTCGCCTCTACAGCCGTGTTCAACATCCAGAATCTGGATGTTATGCTGATTGGCTAAGAGACGATAAAACGCATCATGTGATTCAAACCGGAAATATATGACCAGCGTATGTAAACACCAAAAATAGAATTTGTATAAATTTTGCCAATGCACTTTTAAAAGTGCTTTATTTGTGAAATTTATTTTCAATCAGTAATTAAGCCCAAAAATGAGATATACTATTGCTCGAGTCAGGATTCGAGCCAGGACTCGAGCCAGGACTCGAACCAGGACTCGAGTCAGGACTCGAGCCAGGACTCGAGTCAGAACTCGATCAAAAAAATGCGAAAATACGGGCAATTGCCATTACCCAATGGTTTTGTTTCATAAGACATGTTACGCAGGCTAGTTAAATGTTCTACTACTAGCAAATTAAATACAACCTTTCAATAATTACGCTAATCACCTTGTGTAATTTACCAATGAGAGCGAGGTTCCAAGACCAAAAAGTATGTAATTATCGAAAGGGTGTATTTGGTAATACAGTTAGCCAGCGTGGCCGGCTCTTCTATAATACAGTTTGGTGATATTGGCGTCTATTACAGGAAAATAAGGCAGGGAGAATTATCCTACTCTTTGACGAATGCTAAGCGGCAATGAGCGGCAACAAGTATCTGTTTTGTAAAGAGAGAGAGACTGCTAGTGATGGGCAATACCAACTGTTTTACTTCGATAAATACTGGCCGGATATTTCCCTGTTTTGGATATCGATATTTGTGCAATATATCAAAGACAAACAACAACAATGGTATTGACTATTGTTTCATTCACTGTCTTCCGACGCTCAACCCCGGGGTTGAACTCAGTCCTGTTTACCGGGTTGAAATTTTAGCCCTGGTGAACGAATAGTCTAAATTTAAGGAAAGTTCCTTAAAAGTGAGAACGCTGTTAGTAAATTTTCATCCATCAAAATCACTTGACGTCATTTTTGGCTCGAGTCCTGAATCGAGTCCTGGCTGGAGTCCTAGCTCGAGTCCTGGCTCGAGTCCTGGCTCGAGTCCTGGCTCGAATCCTGACTCGATATTTAGGTACCCTCAGATTCAGTTAAATTTTCTTAAACATTTCGCATTGTTACTGAACGAATAGTCTAAATTTAAGGAAAGTTCCTTAAAAGTGAGAACGTTGTTGGTAAATTCTCATCCATCAAAATCACCTGACGTCATTTTTGGCTCAAATCCTGAATCGAGTCCTGGCTCGAGTCCTAGCTCGAGTCCTAGCTCGAGTCTGGCTTGAGTCCTGGCTCGAATCTTGGCTTGATAAATAGGTATCCTCGTCAAATTGTACTTGTGCGTATGTAATATTTATAACGTCAAATGAGAAATGATGTGTCAGTGTGGTGCAAGTGAGAAATGAATATATTTTCAAATTTCAACTCCATTCTCCCTCCCCCTCCTTATAAAACAATAAACATTAAATTTATTTTGATGCCCTGTATAAACCCTGTTCTATTACTTCTATAGCCTTCATGCACCTGTGAAATTTTCCCCAATGAGGGAAGTGTCAAGTGTGCCCACACAGCACTCACTGTCTGTAATTAATCTTGAATGTAACTCATGATCAGACTTTTATCTTTTTTTGTATATATTTGGAATATCAATTTCAACCACAGCAGATTGATTGTGTATAAAGTGATACCTTCAGTGAGAAACCATGCTGCTTGATTTCCAAAATTAATCTAGAAAACTGCAAATATAACTATATCTACTTTATAATTAATCAGAGCTTGCATTTATCTATAAAGTGGAAAACCCTCGGCAAAATCTTTATGTCAAAAGAATAGAAAAATCTACTAAATATACATCTACTATATATATATATATATATATATATATATATATATATATATATATATATATATATATATATATATATATATATATATATACAGGGTGTATCAAAAAAAGCGCAACCTCGGAATTTCCCAAGAAATCGACATTGTTTTAAAGACAAAAGATTTTAGGCGCCTGGGAATTTAAAATAGCACAACTGTCAAAATTACTGCACACGCGAGTGCATAAAGGAAAATTTATGCATTTATTTAATGCACAACAACAGTAATATGATCTATTAGCAATTCGATTTCAATTCCCAGGGGCCTAAAATCTTTTATGCTTAAGAATTGCAAAGTGATTTCTTAGGAAATTCCGAGGTTGCGTTTTTATTGATACACCCTGTTTATATATATATACATATATATATATATATATATATATATATATATATATATATATATATATATATATATATATATATATATATATATATATATATATATATATAGTTTTTCGTTTTACCTCAAAGAACCACAACAGTCTGTTTCGTTCTGCATGATTCCTATACGGATGAAACAGACTGTTGTGGTTCTTTGAGGTAAAACGAAAAACTATATTACGCTCTATCTATATGGTATTGAGCACTGTTTGTGTTTCGTAAACCAAAATCTTAAGCTATATATATATATATATATATATATATATATATATATATATATATATATATATATATATATATATATATATATATATACTATTTATAAACCGAGTGAGAAGGCTTTATCGGTGCATATATATATAGACGCGAGCCGAAGCCGAGCGGCTATAGGCACCGATAAAGCCCAATCACGAGGTTTATAAATGACTTCTAAAATTCACCTTTTGTTTTGAGTCCCAATGAAATAATAAGAAATGCTAACTACAATAGTTCTATTGTTCTATTGTTTTACGACTCTTCCCTTCATTGATCAGCAAGCAAATTAATGACGGGATTAATTATCAATTCATACAAGTTGTGTGAAACGAAGTTTTCAAATGGAAATTTGAACATTTGACTTGTGTCGTTAATGAGTCGGTTTCGAAGCGCTCGAAGTGCTGAAGAGGAGCAAACGTTGCTCGAAAGAGCGATGCCGCCAAGTACAAGATACGAGACAAGGTGGGCTTTGAAGATTTTTGATTCCTGGAGAGCTGCTAGAAAGGTTAAAACTCCTTCTCGACAAGTAGTTTCGTATTACATTACGATTCAATTTTTCTAATGTAAATATCGCGCCGAGTATTTACCCCCCCCCCTTTAAAACAAAACCCACCATTGTAATCCTCACAAAATAACCTTTCGAACGGGGGGTCAAGTGCCGTCAAAACATTACACAAACCGAAACAATCATATATTTATACTCACCGCTTCGCCAAACATTCATGAGAAAAAGTTGAATATATTCTAAACTTTGGTGTCATTTCCTGAAAGGATATATGTGTAAAATACTCTTTGTATTCAAGCGCTTTCGTGTAGAAAGTTTCGTATGAATACCCAAGGGATGATGTCACCTGTCAATGACATGCATATATTCCTCTGGCAAATAGGCACCGTCATCCCTATTCAAAGCATGATTACTCATATTTATATGCCACGCTTCTAGGCAAAGTCTTTGACCATAGCGATTATTTGTGGTAATTATTTTAGAGTTTTCCCACGCAATCTCGTGTTTGGTGTAACATACATGTTCGGCTAAAGCTGATTTTCCCTTGTCTAAAGTTGAAACAACCTTTTGATATTCTTTTAGCCGTGTACCAAACTGGCGTTTAGACTGACCCAAATACTCTTTCTCGCAGTCACCGCATGGTATAGAATATACAGCATGAGTTTTCTGATTTGTTTTGACAGGATCTTTTGGCTTTGCGAAAATATGGCCTAAAGTCAAATAGGGTTTTAAGGCAACCTTAATATTACAATTACTTAAGATTCTCTTGATTGGTTCTGTGACACCTTGAATGTATGGAACTATTGCATAACCCTTAACAGAGGTATCACCATACTATATATATATATATATATATATATATATATATATATATATATATATATATATATATATATATATATATATATATATATATATATATATATAAAGGTTGC